CAGAGATGAAACCGGTGTGGCTCAGTGGATAGAGCGTCAGCCTGTGGACTGAAAGGTCCCAGGTTCAATTCCGGTCAAGGGCATGTACCTTGGTTGTGGGCACATCCCCAGTAGGGGGTGTGCAAGAGGCAGCTGATCGGTGGTTTTCTCTCATCGATGTTTCTAACTCTCTATCCCTCTCTGTAAAAATTCAATAAAATGTATAAAAAGAATCCAGAGACGAAACATAATTTTGAAAGGCATCCTGGGGAGTCAGAGAAGACCTAGCTAAAGGAACTAAGTTCTGCTTGTCTCAGGACCCCTTGCTGTTTATTAACACAAATTGTCCTAAGGGCAAGGAAGGTAGAGATACACACATCAAAGGGTAGGGTCGTACACACAAATCCATTGTCAGAGTGGGAAATTACCTCCAGCTGTTCAGGGGTTTGGCCAGGAGGAGGCAATAGCATGTAGATTAAGATGCCCTGAGCTGTCTGGCAGCGAGCAATCATTTAACGAATCCCTTTCAGGTTTGGGGAAATGCCTTTAGCCATTTCCAGATGATTCAGCCCTGCTGACATGCTGGAACTGGCTCCCGGCAAGCCAGCCCTTGGGGTCTCAGAGGACCGGTCCTGCGTGGGGCTGGGAAGGCCGCAGGGGTGACTTCCCCTGCGACCCCAGCAGATAGAGCTTCTCTCCGAGGTCAGCCAGCCCCCTGCTGGGGGCCCACAGCCACACAACCTACATGGACGCCCACGCATGAAGGCGTTTTCGGGAGATGGCGGTTTTCTTGTCCAAACTGACTGCAGCACCCGGCTTGTCTCCAGGGCCCCCTCACCGTGCCACGCACGCCTGCCATGCGCGCACGCTGCTCTGGCCTCACTTGTCTGTTCCACTGCATCCCTGACATGCGGGTCTCGGTCATGCGTGGCTGCCGTGAAGTCAGCTGGCTGGGGCTGCAGTGTGGACAGTCAAGCCCAAGTCCCCCACAGCAATGTGTCCACAAAGGAGGGAGCAGAGCCAGAAACGGGGTAGGAGAGGCAGAGGTGCGAATGGGACTTTCCTGGATGCACCTGGTTATGCTGACATCATTTTTTAACATTTGAATCCTCCAGGGAAATGCAGGCAGGGACCAATGAGCCTAACGGGGTACTGGACAGGTAACATGGCCACTTGGAAAGGACAAGGAATGAAGAGACTTGGACAGGAGGCTCTGGGGACCCCACCTCCGGGGGCTGTGCTAAGATTGGAAGTGCTGCCCAGGCGTGGATCTGTCAAAGGCGGTTCCTGCAGATCAGGTCCGAGGGAGGGCCTGCCGCTGTGGCTCTCCTTCCAGGAGAAACCCGAGGATTTTCCAAGAAAAGTGGGTTTTATGGGCCAAAAGGAGGAAAACCTAAGGCAGCCTTTGACTGATGGGCCTTCTGTCGGAGTAGAATTTTTCGGAAGTGGGAGCTTCCTGACTGGCTTTCAAGTGCATCTGGCAGTCCCTGGTTGGTCCACGCTCTCCTGGCCCATTCCGGGGCCTTCCGGGCCAGGGAGAGTCCCCTGGGTTTCCCTGTGTCAGCCTGAGCGACACCCGCTCCTCCTGTGCGGCCTCCGTCTGGCACACACAAGTCTCCAGTAGAGCGTTGGACGTGTGTGCTTGGAGGAAAAGCCAGGGGTGCATCTCCGGGGTGCGGGGGTGCGGGGGGGCGGGTGCTCGCTGCTGGAGAAGAGGACACACAGCCCGAGAGGGACCGGGAGAAGAACCGGGGCTTGCCATCTGGTCTGAGACCAGCCGTGGTTCCGCTGAAAAGGGATGGATGCGGCTTGGCGTCTCCGGGCAACTTCCTAAAGAGCAGTGCCCCAGACTTGGTCAGGAATAAACACACTTTGTGCCCTAACCAGTGTGGCTCAGTGGATAGAGCGTCGGCCTTCAAACTCAAGGGTCCCAGGTTCAATTCCAGTCAAGGACATGTGTCTTGGTTGAGGGCACATCCCCACTAGAGGGTGTGTAGGAGGCAGCTGATCAGTGTTTCTAGCTCTCTATCCCTCTCCCTTCCTCTCTGTAAAAAATCAATAAAATATATATTTAAAAAAAAAAAAAAAGAAGAAACACACTTGTGCGGAAGACAAGGGGAAAAGCTCAGGCTGAGAAGGAGAGCTGGTAGAAAAGCACAGAGGCAGGAGGGAGAGCGGCAGAGGGGGTGGGGGAGAAGGGCAGGGGTCAGGCAATGGTGGGCGGGTGAGGTGGGCAGCAAAGACCCGAGCTCAGGGCCAGCGCCTGGGCCCCGCTGCTTCGTCCACGCTCCGCTTCATTCTGTGGAAGGCCAGTGGAGGCGCTGACGGGAGCTATGAGACTCATCACTAACACGTGGTGCCCGCCCTCAAAACACACCTGAGCGTGTGCGGATGGAGGGCCAGGCTGAGTGTGGAGCCTGACTCCCCACACGGAGGCCCTGGGTCCACTCTCTCGGGGGTCAGTCGGCGAGCCTTGGCATCACATCCCACAGCCTGGCTGGCTTCCCCAACAGAAACCTATCCTGCCACCGCTCTCAGGCCCAGGCGCCGGCGGCTGGTGCCCGGTGGGGCCTCTCTGATTGGCGTGCAGACAGCCGCCCTCTCCTGCGCCCTCGCTGCCTCACCGTGCACGGGGGACAGGCTCTCGGGGTGGCCTCCTCTTACAAGGACACCAGTCCTGTGGGATTAGGGCCCCGCCCTCTGACCTCATGTAACCTTACTTCCCTCCCCCGAGTTCCTGTTTCCACATGCAGCCGGTTAGGGGGTTGGGACTTAAACATGTGGATGTTGAAGGCACGCAGTTCAGTCCATAATCCTGTGTGACCCAGGATGGTTAGCTAACCTCTCTGGGCCTCCGCTTGCTCCCGTGGGAAATGGTAACCAGCACCACCGGAGAGGCTGCGGTAAGGACTCTGGCGCCCGCCTGCAGCGCACACTCAGTGAACGGTGTTTGTGACTTAACTCAGCGCCTGGTTTGTGGCTTCGCCGTCTCCCCGGAGGGAGTGGATTTCGGAGCAGCAGGTCGATGCCTTTCCGGACATCGCAGCTCGTCCAGCGCTCACCGAGCCTCCGGGCTCCGCTCCGGCCAGGGCCCTCCCGGCCCGGGACCTGGTTGGCTCCTGCAGGAGGCAACCTATCCATGTGTTTCTCTCACATGAGTGTTTCTCTCTGTCTTTCCCTCTCCCTTCTACTCTCCCTAAAAAAATCCACAGTAACAAAAGCGTTAATGCTCATTAGACCGCACAGCCTCCGGACGAAGCCGGGCTCTGAGGGAAGCCGGGTCCTGGGTGCCAGCCGCTGCGGGAAGGAAGGCCTATGCTCGCATGAATTTCATGCATCTGGCCTCTTGTAAATAAATAATTAAAAGTAAAAACCATTTTAAAAAATAAAAAATAATTTTAAAAAATAAATAAATAAGCCCAGAGCATCTCCAGTACGGTCCTGGGTCTGAATACGGGCAGCAGGCTAATGGCCCAGGACACCAAGGCGGAGGGCCACCGCTCCTCATTCTGCTCCTCGGGAATGTCCACCAACTGCGGCTGAGCCCCAGGGAGGGGGCTCTCTCCCGAGGAAGCGTCCACGGGCTGGTGTTCGCACAAAACCTCTCCCCTCTGCTGTGCTGCTGTGACTAAGCGTGGGCTCTGCCTGCTGAGTCCCTGGCGTGCAGGCCCTGCCTGAGCTGCTCAGCGCCCCTTCCAGACCCTGCGCTGCCTCCGGGCTTTCCTGACTCCAAGGCGGGGCCGTGGGAGCTGGGCTGACACAGCTGCAGGAATGGCCGGGGGACACCACCGCGTCCCCAGGAGCTTGGCAGAGGTCGCGGGGAAAGCAAACCCACTGCATTTCGTCTTTCACACCCGCTGTGGGCTGGTCTTTTCTCCAGAGGCGGGAGGTGTGTCCCCCATTCTGTCATCTCACATTGAAAAGCAAGCTACTCCTGGCTCAGGTCCCGATAGGACTTAGGCACAGCGGGGGTGGGGGAGGCCAGAGTCCTGACCTCAGGGCTCTCCCAGAGCACGAGTGTGCACCTGTGTGCATGGGTCCCTGTGTGCATGGACACCTGTGTACACAGACCCCTGTGTGCATGGACACCTGTGTTCATGAACAATTTGTACACAGGCCACTGTGTGCATGGGCCTTGTGTACACAGGCCCCTGTGTGCACGAACACCTGTGTACACGGACCCCTGTGTGTATGAACACCTGTGTGCATGGGCCCTTGTGTGTATGAACACCTGTGTACACGGGCTCCTGTGTGCATGAACATCTGTGTACATGGGCCCCTGTGTGCATGAACAGCTGTGTACACGGGCCCCTGTGTGCATGAACAGCTGTGTGCATGGGCCCCTGTGTGTATGAATACCTGTGTGCATGGGTCCCTGTGTGTATAAACCCCTGTGTGCATGGGCCCCTATGTGTATGAATACCTGTGTGCATGGGCCCCTGTGTGTATGAACACCTGTGTGCATGGGCCCCTGTGTGTATGAACACCTGTGTACATGGGCCCCTATGTGCATGAACACCTATGTACATGGGCCCCTGTGTGCATGGACACCTGTGTACACGGGCCCTAGTGTGCATGAACACCTGTGACATGGGCCCCTGTGTGTATGAACACCTGTGTACACGGGCCCCTGTGTGCATGAACACCTGTGTACACAGGCCCTTGTGTGCATGAACACCTGTGACATGGGCCCCTGTGTGCATGAACAGCTGTGTACACGGGCCCCTTGTGCACGGGCACCTGGACCTGCATGTTTGTGCGTGGCCTGGCGGGCAAGTGTAGCTTGATGAGAGCCAGAACGCTCACGTTGCTCCCCTGAGCTCCCCGGGGAGGCTGACCCCCCCAGCACATGCTCCCGGGCATGCTCGGTGCGTCTATACCATGGACAGCACAGCCATGGCTGTGACACCCCGTGCAGGTCCCAGTCGGAACAGCGCGGGCAGCAGTCCCCCCAGCTCACAGAGGGCCCTTGGGGACAGAAAGCCTCACTCACACTAAAGCCTCCGCTCTCCTCTCCGCAGGGATGACGTGCCAAGCTCGGAGCTCCTACATCACCAGCGAGATCCTGTGGGGGTACCGCTTCACCCCAGTCCTGACGCTGGAAGATGGGTTCTACGAAGTCGACTACAACAGCTTCCACGAGACCTACGAGACCAGCACCCCCTCCCTCAGTGCCAAAGAGCTGGCGGAGCTGGCCAGCAGGGCAGAGCTGCCCCTCAGCTGGTCGGTGTCCAGCAAACTCAACCAACATGCGGAACTGGAGACCGAGGAGGAAGAAAAGAGCCTCGAGGAGCAGGCAGAAAGGAATGGTGACGTGGCCAACCTCGAGAACGAGTCCAAAGTGTAGTCCCCTGGCCGGGCCCCTCCCCCCCAACCTTTCCCCAGGCCAGGCCATCCCTTCTCCTGCCCCCATCCCCCCCAATCTCTCCTCGTCTCTCATCCTCCTGCTTTCTGTCTCTCTAACTTCGTTCTTCCTTTGTTTGTGTTTAATTTTGGCGTTACCAGAAAACAAATCTTCAAGGTGTAAAATCTCTGCCTGCCCTTCCCCAGTTACTCAGATTGGAGAGGTAGACACGGATTTGGTTAAGGGATAAAGTGCCCTCATTGCTGGCCCAAGCCTGTCTCCTCCCTAACTTCCACACCCCCAACTCCTAGAGATTTAACCCACTTACCTGCATGTGCTACAGAAGACCAGACCGCTCACAAGAGTGTGGCGAACACGTGACCTGGGATGCACCTTAGGTCCAGTGCCTGTCCCTTCCTGCAGTGGGACAGAGTGCAGCCCTCACTTCCCTGGATCCCCACCCATGTCATCTCCAGGGCATCCCAGGTGTAGGGGCCAGATGAAGCAAAGACAAAGCACTGTACATATATATGCCTTATTTAATCATTTTCTTTGTCCCTTATCAATAAGACCCAGCATGTACAAAAGTACTGTAGGACACAACTTCTAAATAATGTACATAGATATACAACTAGTGTAGGTTTAGATATGTAACTTTAGAAATAAGATTTTTTAAAAAGTAAAAAAAAAAAAAAAAAAAAAAAAAAAGACTCTCACTGTACAGTAGGCACTTCCGTTCCGATGTCTCTGTTTTCTGAGTTGCTTTGGTCCCATTGACTGCTGGCCCTTTAGTGCATGGCCCTTGTTCTGTGTCCCACACTGGCAGCCCATTCAGGTACCTCCCTGTCCCCTCGCTGATCCTTTCATTGAATCTAATAAGCCATAGGCCTGGAGGGAGGTGGGGGGTCCAGCAGATGGCAAAACACCCCACCAATACACTGATATACTGTGAAATGTTTACAAACTGAGGCCTCTCGTTTAAGACAACCAGGGCCTCTCGGACTAGCCGGGGGGAGAATCCCAAGAGGACATTCTCGAGCTTGTCACCAATGCCATGTTCATGCCTCACACGAGCGCTCGCCCTCTGTAGTTCAGGAAACTCTTCTGCAAAAACACTGATTCTCCAGCTGATCCCATCCCGTAGTCACGAGAAATGACAGACTATGACAAGGAGACATGGCAGGTGAGCGGAAGATGGTTGGGTCTGGAGTCATGGACTTCACAAAGGCTCCTAGTGTCACTGACCTCACACCCTGACTTAATCCTGCACTCTCCCCAGCCCGAGGGCTTATCCATAGGCTTCTTGCATTGTTACTTACTCTATTCTTTTATTATTACGAAATGACCAGAGTTCAACATTCAGAAATTGCACCAACAACCTTGGTGACTACGAAATCTCTCAAACGTATGCCACAGGGTAGAAATCAGAAAGTGTCTCTCAATCAAAAAGGAGGGGGGAAAATGCAGCCTTAATTCATTGCAATCTACAACGATAAATGTAGAGAGAGAGGAAGATAAAGAGGAGCGAAGGAAGGAAAGAATGGAGGGACAGCCAAGAGGGAGGGTGGTATTTTGTACTGAAAATCTAAATTTTCATATAAAAAATGTTTTCAAATAAATTTTAAAAAAAGAAAAGAAGAAGAAAGAAAGAGAATCCTATGTGAACAGGTCAAGGGCAGGTGGAAATTTTGCACTGTGAAGATCTTTCCCATTAATTTCACTCTTTTAACCGTTTGTTCCCTGACGCATCAGCAGTACCCACTGACTGGATGCAAGTTCATTGTCAGCTCCCACTGCTGTGCTCAGTGTGAGGCTCCGCTCTGTGGAAGGCCAAGAGCTCAAACGCGCTGTCCCTCCCTGTGGACCTTGCTCTCCCGCACCCGATCTCGCGGGCCTCCGCCAGAGCTGAAGGACCTTGTCTCCTAACAAGTGTGTGTGGGAGGTAAGGAGAGGGGCTCCTCGGTCTAACACGGGACCTCTCCTCTCCCACTCCCAAGACTTTGCATCAGGACCGCTGCTTCCTGGCACTGACTTTCTGGAGACCAAGCCTGTGGGCCATGGCCCCTTCCTGTTTGCCAACATCTCGCTCTGCGTTGAGGATCTGTTGACTCATTCCATACGCGTAGGAGGAGGCTGCAATCACAGAGGAGGAGGGAGCCCCGTACCCTTCTTGCCGGGCCGTGGGAGGTACCGGGGCCTTTCCTCCACGCACGTACGTAGCCTTATCCAGGGCGCTCTGGACTCGCTGCAGGGCATGGCCTGCTAGCACAAAGCGAAACCGAGCAGGGGTTGCAAAAAGTCTGCTACGTTAGCTCTTGAAGACTCTCTGGGCCTTTTGTAAGCATGTCCTCAGGCCCGAAGGACCACGCCCGCTGGTGTCTGGTGGGAACAGCAGCTCGGGGCCCGTTAGCACAACTGAACACAGAGCCCGACAGGCCTCAGTCACGCCCGGGCGGCCAGTCCTGTAGGTGACAGGGCCCCGGGTGCAGCCCCCCTGTCCCCATCGTCTCTGGCGTCCATGTGGTTGGAGACAGAACACGAACCAATTCTCGTTTTTTTTGTAACGTGAGCCTCTGAGTCTTTCCACGAGGGTGCCCCAGAAGACCCTTTTACTAGAACGTCCCGCGCAAACGTGTCTATTTTTCTACAATTATTGATAACAGTTTAACGGTGTATTTTGTGTCAACTGTTAAAACTTGGAACGGAAAGCAGCTCCCTGAGACTGAATTTTTCTAAGCAGCAAGCGCGGGACGGTGTCTTCCCACTAGGACAGTTCCGCAAAGACGCCCCCACCACTCCCAGCCCCCGCCCCGGATCCAGACCCCCCGCCCTCAGCCACTTTGTTAGCAGACCAAGTGCGATGACAATAAATAAGCCTATTTTAACGCAGCAGCACCTGGGACGAGTGAGAATCGCTCTCACCTCGATATTCTGGTGTCTGGTTGGTGTATTGCAGTCTTTGTTCCACAAAACCGTGGTGGGGTCCATTCGCTGGGCAAGCACTTTGACCTGAAGGTGGCCGTTTGCTCCAGGTGACCCCCATCTGGAGAAAAGGGCAGAGTTACCTTCAAGCAGCACCCCCAGGGCGCTGGGACCCTCAGGTTCACCCTCCCACCCGCCCCAGCGGGCTTTCCCCCTACAGAGCGCCCCTTCCCCCATGTCCACTCTGTGTAGCCGCCACAGCTGCTGGTGTCTTTGGCGACCCCGGGGCCAGGGGCACATCAGTGGCAATGCCGGTCATTGCTTCGCTGTTCCTCGGAAACAGGCATTCCAGCCCCTGGTCGGGGAGGAGGTGCCCTGTGCCCACCTGCCCCTCCCCCTGCCCCCATCCGTTCCTCTCCTGCTCACTTCCCTCCAGCTCCAGACCCATCCCTGCAGTTCGGTAACTCACGTTTCCGCTCAGACATCAGCCACTGTCCCAGAGAGCGTCAGCCTGGCTCTCAAGCACAGATTCCTCTCCGGTTCCGCCAGGTGAGGGCTCTCCTGCCGATCTCCCATGACATCCTAGTTTCAGAATGATTGGCGACTTCCGATACAGCCTAAATGTTGAAGTCTGCCAATGCTTTCCCTCCTACACTTCCTTATATTTTGGGTTTCTTCCTTTCCCCCCGCCCTCCCCTTTGCTTTTTTTAATTGAGGTTTAAGCAAGCATCTGAAGGAGGCTCAGAAACTATTTGGGAAGGTGGGTAGTCAGAGAAGGAGGCTATACAGACGCTGTTAGAAACTACACATTAGCGCGCAGCAAGAACGGGAAAGCATTCAGTTAGCTGAGCAATTCAAGGTGCGTTGGAAATGTTACATGTCCGTAGTCCTTCCCCAGACAGCTCGCCGCAAGGAGGTCTTGAGTCTTCCTTCCTTTGGCCCGGGGGCTCTGTGGCTCACGGCGGGGCGGTTGGAAATGAATGTCCTGCTGACACCACAGACCTCCTCTCCCAGGAGGCCTCCCGGCAGGTGGCTGTGAGGTCGGAAACAGGCCGCACAGACAATCCATTGATCATATCAGCTTGTTTCTAGACCTTATGGCCAGCCAACACTGACGGAAATGTTATCCTTTCATGAAAATGGGGTGAAACACGCCTCTTCCTGCCATCTCTGCCCTGTGGCTCCGAGAGCCACACACACAGCGTGGCATCTGGAGGCCGAGCTCGCTCAGGCCGCTGGAGAGGCTGGCGAAGCACAGTGTGTGCAATGACAAGAAGGCATGCTGCCCTATTGTGCGCAGTGCCTGAGCACTCACTCAAACCACTCCATTTCATTCTAACCCATCAAGGAGCTGTGTGCTATAATCTCAGTGTTACAAGTGGAAACCCAGGGGGTAGGCAAATCACGGCCTTGCCCCGGTCACCAGGCCTGCAAACCACACACCCTGGTCCAGCCCAGGTGCCGAGGCGTAAGCCCTGGGCTCTTTAACTACAAACACGGTCTGCACAGCAGATGGGCTCCCAGCCCCTGGCCGCTGCCTGTTTTTGGAAGCCTTGCAAGCGAGGGGTGACTTCACATTCTTAAGTTGTTGGGGGGAAAGTAAACAAAAGGAGACTATTTTGTGACATGTGAAAACTATGTGAAATTCTCACTTCAGTGTCACAAATAAAGTTTTATTGGAACACGGGCCCCCTATCCATTATTATCGTTCACACATGCTAGCAGAGTTGAGGCCGTGCGGCCAGAGGCTGCAATATTTAGTTTCTGCGCCTTTCCGGGGAAAGTTTGCTGGCCTCCATGCATACTACTACATGCTATTAGTGTCATTCACTGCTGTCAGCTGGTCAGCATTGTGCTGCAGGAGTAAGAGATGCCCGGACAACTTAGAGCGATAATGCTCTTTCCCAGGACAAATGTGTAACTCACCCCCATGGTTCTGTTCGAAGGGGGAAAGAGCACAGTTTTGGGTAAGAAGCCAACTGCTTCCCAGGACTGTGGTAGCCTGGTCTCAGTCAGGTCTCAAAGAAACACTCTCCCTTCTGGGGACACCACCCAACCCCGAGGCTGTGGGGCAGAGGGAC